CTTCAAGGAAGGAGATCTGGTCCTCGCTGCTCGCCGACCAATAATTCTCACCTCCAAGAAGAAAGGTAAATTCGAACCCAAATGGGAAGGACCGTTTGTAATAGACACAGTCTATTCAAACGGTGCATATCGCCTGATTACTCAAGAGGGCGCCAGGCAATTAATGCCAATAAATGGGAAGTTCCTGAAAAAGTACTATCCCTAGTACGTTCTGGATAACCCATTTACCGGGAAGTTCCTTGAAGAATATTATACTTAATATTCTAGAGGATAACCCAAAATCATTTTCACCACCAAAATTCCTCACTGATCAGTTTCAATTGACAATGGGTCCACCAAAAATGTTTTTCTGACCCTCTCGACTCTTTCCATGAACAAGAGGTCCACTTTCAGTTCAGAGTCCTCTTTCGATAAACGAAAGAACTCCCTCCTTTTTCTCTTTGGTTAAGCCTTCTCATGGTCATAACCTAAGTTGAAATTTCATTTCGATAAACGAAAAAATCATCTTCCGATTAGATAACTAAGCCTATAAAAGGTAAGTTTATCTAGATCTTCCAGATTCTCGGGGTAGAGATCCCACTTCTAGTTTCTTTTTCACTGGAAATAGAATATAAAATTCTTCCTTTCCAGAATCAAGGAATAAGAATATAAAATTCTTCCTTCCTTGTTTTCGGGTTTGCCTTCACCCTAAAAGAAGACCGGGAAATAGAATATAAAATTCTTCCTTTCCCGCACCGATCTTTTCCAAAATTTATCAATCTAGGATTCATCCTATGAAGTTTATCCCGAATCCTAAGCAGGGATAAGTCTGCGCCTAACACGCGCTGCCGGTTTAGTCTTTCTCCGTGGAAAAAAGACACCAGAGTTCGATTCTAGGGTATTCTATCCTGAAACCTAAGCAAGGATAAGTCTGAGCCTAATACGCGCTGCCGGTTTAGTCTTTCTCCGTGGAAAAAAGACACCAGAGTTCAATTCTGGGGTATTCTATCCTGAAACCTAAGTAAGGATAAGTCTGCGCCTAACCCGCGCTGTCGGTTAGTTCTTAACCGCTAAAAAGAACACCCGTTCACATATTCAACATTGTGGCAGGTGGTTATTAATAACACCAAAATCCATGCCTTACACGTATGGGGAATTTCATCCTGAATCCTAAGAAAGGATATGCCGACGCTTAACACGCGTCGCCGGTTTAGTCTTTCTCCGTAGAAAAAGACACCAGAGTTCGATTCTGGGGTATTTTATCCCAAAGCACAGTGAGGGTTGCCTATAAATAGGCCCCCCTTGGTTCATTTTCAAAGGTTGGAAATTTTGGAGGCGAAGCTCTGCTGGATTCAAGACTCAGAATTAAAAAAGATTGAAGCTTTGGGACTTTGAGGACTTGCTCATCCAGATCCGGTGCTCGGCGATCGTCAACGCCAAATAAGGCAAGAGTTCGAGAGGAACCGGATCTCAGATCTACGTAGTCATCTTCCGGATCAAAGCTTGGCCTTTGATCCCGAGAACTAGGGCGATTATTTCCTTGGTGAATTAATCCCCCCGGCTATTATTTCCTTCGCGAAATAATACCCGTCATACTGCGTAGATCCGACCGGATCTAGATTGCGCGTTGGTCCACGGATAACCCCGGCGCAGGCAAAGAACCCCACAAAAGCGAGTGACCGCAAAACAGGAGCTCGCGATTCGTTCGAAAGGAAAGTTGTAATCTTTTTTATCTTTTCTTTGATCTCGTTGTAACCGGATCTTATAAAAAGATCGGATCTTTGTAACCGATTAACTGTTATCAAGGAGTGTGCAATGACATCAATGAAGAAAACAATTTTTCCCGCGAACAGGGTTGTTAGACCCTAGAGGGGGAGGGGGGTGATTAGGGTCTTATGCTAATCTAATCCGATTTTATGCCAATTAAAACTAATTAATAAATTATTCTTGCAAGATAGATATACAATATGTTACAAGCAAGAATAAGCAATATGAAAAAAGAGCAATATTCTAGCAATGAGATATATAGTAAAATATATGCGAGGATATATAAACTAACACAAGGGTGAAACAATATAGAGGACAATATAAATAAGCAAAAGAACAATGGCGATATAAGATATGAACAGAAGAATTAAGTACGCCAAAGACAATGCAAACACAAGCAAATGATCACGGAGTTCGGACTTTCTGTCCTACGTCTCCGCTCCCCACTCCCGGGGAGAAATCCACTATCACAACCGGGTTTTCTACGCTCACCTGAATAACGTTTACACCTCACAATTTTATTCACGGAGTTCGGTCCCCACGACCTACGTCTCCGCTCCTCATCTCGAGGATATCTCCACTTCACACTCGGTTTTCTAGCTAACCGAAAACTTTACAATCTCATAATATAACAAATGATTTGTTCTCTACAATAGATGAGAACTCAATGTAAGCTCACTCTCTAGGTTACACAATCCCACAACCCAATTATACTATGAATGTAAATACAATAAGCTCAATGGTTGTGTGTGTGTAAGCAAAGAGAAATAAATCAAAACTAAACTCAATATAATTCTAGCTTAATAACAATGATAATCAAATATATATAAAAGAGCTAGAAATAGAGTTTAGAAAATTTCTCAATAGATCAAGAGATTGAGGAAGGATGGTTGGATGCTCAAACACCAATAGATAATCTCCTCATGCTCTTGTGAAATTGATTTCCCAAAATCAAACTCTCAAATGCTTAAAAGCTTTTTAAACACACTTAAACAAAAAACTTAAACCCTTGATGAAACTCTTTTAAACTTGGTTTAAAACCCTCTCTTAGTTGTTGAAGAGCTGAAGACAATGGGGTATTTATACCCACTCAAAACATCAGCCAAAAAAACCTTAAAAAGACCAAAATAGCCCCAGAAAATCAAATCAGAAAATAGCCGTCGCAATGCAATGATGAGTTCGGCGGTCGACCGCGGTGGTCGACCGTAAGCAAAAAAACAGTAAAAAGGCTTTTGAAAGCAGTCGGTCGACTGTGGCGGTCGACCGTGAAAGTTTCTGGGGGGGGGAGCCATAAAAAGACATAGTATGAAAATTAACTACTAGCGGTCGACTGCAAACTGATATATGTCAAATTACAGGTTTGAAAGTAAAATGCTGATTTTAAAACCCTGTTTAAAAATATCAAATAAATTCAGAAAAATATAAAACTTTGGGGAATGATTGTAGACATGATAAACATGCTACAAAAACTGGTTTTCTAAAAGGACTTACCAAATGAGAAATATCATCATTTTGCAAAATAGTCCAAAACATGAAAGTGTAAACATACGAGTTTTGACATTTTAGCTTAACCATGTTTTAAAACATTACAAAATGATTTTATAGACTTGAAGAAAGATGTAAGGTATTGTTATGAAGTCTATAAACAATGAATATAGTATTTTATCAAAATACACATATAATGCACTAAAACATGATTTCATTGAACTAAATAAAATTGATATTGATGAAATCATATATATGCATATAAGTATGAAACAAAAATATGTTTTCTAATTATATTAAATTGTTTCATATTAAAACTTGAAAATTATCAACCCAAAACATATATGTATATATATAACTATATATATACATGGAAACCAATAAATGTGTGTGTATATTATATTGAGCTTAAGGTACTAACACACATAATATAAACTCCTAAACTAAATTACCCAAGCTTGATCTTGATCTTCATTGTAGCTCAACTTGGTAAACTTGGATTAAGCTTGTAATTGGATCTTTAACTTCATAGCAAGGCTTCACTCCACTATTCCGCCAACCTCCATTGGATATGATCGTGAAAGCTTGATTCCATCCAACCTCCAACTCGTTGTTTGCCTAGAATAAATACGAAAACACAAACATTAGACAAACAACATTAGAAGTAAATTGTTCGTTAAACATCATCAAAACAAGAAGGCCAACACGGGTGCCTGTAACGTCGATTTGGTGGGTAGGCCGAAAAACACCACCTTTTTAAGTCGGCTACGCAGGTTGTCGGTCCGTTGGGTCGACCGTAAAAGTAGCTCGAGCAGTCCGTCTTTGATTATGTCTAATTAGGCGTGGAGCGGGACACATGTCGGTTTCCCGATAAGGATTAGTACTTAGTTGCTTGTAGGCTATAACAACAATCTTTTGCTATGCTTCTGGGTTTTCAGTTTAATTTGTGTCTTAATAATTTTTTATGAAAAAACTATTGGAATATAATAATTGATTCTAGCTAATAAAGTAATTTATGACATCTCTCCTTCTAAACCAACTAATAATGTAGTTAATATGAATTTTAGTGAGAAAATGAATCCATAATTAAAGCATTCATGTATATTCTTTTATTGACCAATCAAATTCTCTTCATTAATCATGCACTAATTATTTCTCGACTAATCTACTTCCATAAACATTCCACTTGGACAAAAGTTGCATAAAATTATGCTATATATGTATGCTCAAATGCACAAAAGGAAATACTAAAAGAATTAAACGAAACAAATGGAGGGAGTGAGAATTTTGATAGTGCAATCAGTCTCTTGATTATAGTAACCAGGACACCTCGCAGTCAACAAGATTTCACAGGCAATAATTAAGAAAGAACATTGTATTGCCTTTTTTGGATGGAAACAAATATAAATGTTAATAAATTCATGGCGAGTGGATGGCTGGGGACTCTGTTTGAGTACTCTTCGTTGGTCTCAAGAAAAAGTCATGGGCAAATGTAATGTGAGATGACATTCAATTATTTTAATATCATATTATTACTTAATATATATGCATCATGTGCAAAGAATGTGTTAAATACTAGTTATAGTGAACATAAATTAGACAATTAAGATAATCGAGGATGTGCAATACCAAACCGGCGAAACAATGCGTCACTGGTCAAAGCCGTTATCTTGTGGCCCTCGTCACTTCTGACCCAACATCCTAAAGAAACCGCCAGGTGCACGCGTAAAGAGCGAATAGATTCAAGTTTGTTAAGAAAATACAAACTGAATGAGAACATCTTAACTTAAAATGAATCACGTTATCACTGCACCTTCACTGGTGAGAGTAGTTGGTTCCTGTTATTAGTCGACTGAAAGGCTGGGGGACGAACGGATGATTAAACAATTCACAGTTCTTGGCGCAATGAAAGCTCCAATTTTGGTTTTCTTCTTCTCTGCCCTCTTCATCTGGAGGTCTGTGACTTCAATTTTACCTATTATTAAAGTTTTGCATGGCAATTTGTTGGTATTTCAATTGTTTGTTCTTGTAGAATTTTGTGGATGTGATTTGGTTGTGTTTGTTTCAGTGGATTTTGTGTGGCCAGAAGCATAAAAGGGGAGATTACTGCCTTGCCACCTCGAGGATGGAACTCTTATGATTCTTTTTCATGGATCATCAGTGAACAAGAGTTCCTTGACAATGCAAAATTTGCGGCTGATAAGCTACTTGTTCATGGATATCAGGTTAGAACGCCAGCAAATTTTGGTCATCATGAATAGGGTAAATTCCACAAACCCCCTTAATTTCTACCGTCTTTCCCTTAAGTTTAAAGATGTCACAAAACCCACTTTAAGTTTGGCCGATTTTACCCTAAATATTAAAAATGTCACTAAACCCACTATGTTTGGGGTGTTTCAGAAACCCCAAACATTTCCAATTTTTCAACTAACCCCCTGACTGTCTTGGATGAAGTGATAAAAAGATAAAAACACCCTTTTCAAATTAACACTCTAATTATGAAATTAAATCAAATTAATTATTAAAACCCTAAGCCTAACTTGGGGTTTTGTAAAAATTGTCGTTATTTTAAAAGGACATGAAAGGTTTTTTTTTTCTTTCACTTGGGGCATTTTGGTGGTTTTCACATTCACCGTCTGGTCTAACAGTGTTAGTTAGGGGGGTTATCTGCCGAAATTTAAGGGGGTCAGGTGGCATTTCTAAAGTTTAGGGGGTTATCTCAAAAACAGTCAAACTTAAGGGGGTTTAGTGAAATTATTAAAGTTAAGGGGTTATCTCAAAAACAACCGAATTGAAGGGGTGTTCTGTGAAATTTACCCTTATATAATGATACCTAGTTTAAAGTGCTTTGTATTTTGATTTGTTTGTAGTATGTTGTGGTGGATTTCTTGTGGTACCGGAAGAATGTGGATGGAGTTAACTTAGATTCTATAGGGTATGATAACATTGACGAATGGGGACGGATGATCCCTGACCCAGATAGGTGGCCGTCTTCTAGAGGGGGGAAAGGGTTTAAGGAAGTTTCAAGAAAGGTTCATGATATGGGTTTGAAGTTTGGTATTCATCTCATGAGAGGAATCAGTGCTCAGGCAGTCAAGGCCAAGACACCAATCTTAGATGTATTGAAGGTATACTTCCTCCTTTGGCTCCATGTTTTTTGTCAGCATTTTTTCTTTGAAAGTTGTTAGAGATTCAGAACATTTTATCTTTACCAAAATGTAGGATATTTTAAAAGATAATTTATCCGTTAGTACTACATTGTAACAAAGAAAATGAATCAAATTATACTTCTGAAATCATGTACAGTTAAAATGGGTAGTCTTCATTAGAGTTGTTAGGGGTAATACACTCGAGTAAACAATCATTGGTATACTTCCGGTCATCATGATTATTTAGAGTTTTCCAAAATTCCATGCTATTTTACTATCACCATTCTGAAATGGCTTAAGTTGATACTCTACATTTAATAAATACGTATGTACCGTTTTTGTTCCTAATTAAAGGCCACGTTCTCCTTTTTCATTATCCAGGGAGGAGGCTATCGGGAGGCTGAGCGAGAATGGCATGCAGATGAGATCGGAATGAGAGACAAGAGTTGTGCATGGTTGAAAGGGTTTATGAGTGTCAATACGGATTTAGGAGCTGGAAGAGCTTTCCTAAGGTCTTTGTACTGGCAGTATGCAGAATGGGGTGTTGATTTTGGTATGGTGCAAATGAAAATCTTAAAGGACAGGCATAAAGTCATGCACTTAGTGATATAGATCATGCACTTAGTGATATAGAAAAGTTTTCTTGAAAAACAAAATACCCTTAGAGGACCAACATATTTTTAGATTAGTGCTTGTTTATAAAGCTAGCTAGCTAGCTGGTAATATTTTACATTAGAATACCTTTCTTCTGGATTTCTGAAGAACTAGGTATATGAAGCAAGTGGGACAATCATTTTAATTACCTTATCTTTTATCTTGATTCTTGTTTCATTTGACTTGCTATTTTATTTTTATTTTCCAGTTAAACTGGACTGTGTGTTTGGAGATGATTTGGATACAAAACAAATACTTGTGGTCTCGGAGGTACATGTTCCTTTCATAAAATATTTGTGTTTATTTCAAGAAGAGGGGCCTTTTGGGAATCAGCACATGTGTTGCCTCTGCAGCTTTTGGAGGAACTTGATCGTGCTATTCTTTTTTCTCTCTCTCCTGGAACAAGTGTGACTCCATCCATGGCTGAGGGCATCAGTGAGCATGTTGATATGTACAGAGTAACCGGTGATGATTGGGATAAATGGGCAGATGTGGCTTATCATTTTAATGTTGCAAGGTGTACTATATAGCCCTATCATTTTCCTTTGCATCATTTTGTTTATATTTTCAGTTAATTGCCTAGTAATGGATTTCTAATCATAGAACCAAACTCTCTTTATCTTTGTATTGTTGTTACTTCTATTTACACGTTACCTGTATTTGGTCCTTTTATAGGGACTTCGCTGCTGCTAAAAAAATTGGAGCACAGGGATTGCATGGAAGGTCGTGGCCTGACTTAGACATGCTACCACTTGGACAGCTTACTGATCCAGGTAAGTTGATGTTCGTAGATGAAATTATTGTATTCAATTTTATTTTCTCTGGTCACGTAATAAGTTTTTATTAAGTAAAACACAGTAAAAATATGGCACCATAATGCTGATATCTGAATATTTGGCAGGTTTCTGATGATGTTTTTAAACTATTATAGATGCTCCTATACAATTATATCCTTACATTTCCCATACAATTGCTTTTTATTTCCTTCCAGATAGTCATTTCTCCATGAATAAAAGCCTAACTTTACCATAATTATTTAAGTTCTCTCTATTATAACTATATAAGTTAAACCTCACTGAAGCTGTTACAACTGAATTACAGACTATTAAATCCTCTGAACCTTTCCTTACAATACCATATGATTATTATCTTGAGCAAAAAAGAGCCTTTGGGCTTTTCTATAAACCAAACTCCTGCTGCCTGTCAAATTTCTATGCTTGAAATTTGCAGTCAAAACCTTGAATACCTTGGTTTTAAAGTATCCTATTATGTGACACATTAAGAACTTACAGTGGAAATTGATGGATATTATATGCAACATAATATTAAAGGAGAAAAGCGTAAGGAGGAGGAAAGTGTAAATAAAAGAAAAGATGAGGCAAAAAAACAATAGACATAAAGCGTTACTTGGTTCGCTGATGTGCTTTACCGTGTGGTGGGAGTGCGAGGGCTCCACAACATAGGAAAGAATATCTGACAAGAGATCTTAGCTTATTCTCCTCAAAGATCATATTGACAAGATATCTTCTTCCATGAGAAGGTCCTCTATTTTCTGTATTTACTATGAGAAGATAGCTGTTAGGATATAGTTAAATGTAAACCACTGGATGACCCCAGTCATAAATTAGACTGTTGAAGTTTATGCCCAGCAGGGCATGCTGCACAAGAAACTTAAAAATTAAATCAGATGTGAGAAGTTCAACACTTGATATATTTCTTCGTGTTTTATTTTTCAAAGTGAGCAAAATGTTAGCCTTAAGAAAATTACCAGCTGAAAATCTACCTGTAAGAAATTCAAAAAAGGATTTTAAAAAACTTTATTTGGTCTTTTCTAGAGGGGATTATTCTCAAAATTTTTATTACAAATATCTTAGGTCAGAAACGCTTTGGGCTTCAGTTCAATATCCTGCTAGTTTTTGCTTCTCATGTATTCGGGTTGCAATAGTTAATCATCCTCACCATCATGAAAGATTTTGCCAATAAACTTGATTCAGTTGGAGAAGAAGGCTTCATGGAAGATTCACCAAACATTTGGTGATGCATGATAATCAGAAAGATTTGAATTGACCCCAATATTAGGCAAGTTAGTTAGGATTTTTTTTTTTAAGGATAATATAGTCTTTATTTGATATACTATGTAATAATTTATAATCATTTGTTATAAGTTACTGACAGTTGCGACTTTGTTACACATATTTGGGAATCCAATTGATGTTGATAGACAAAAAAGCTATCAAGGACAATATTCACAATTAACTTCATGTAGCATCTGAACAACATTATTTCCTAACTTTAAAATACAAATTCACGAGATTGTCTAGTATTTCTGATGCTTTGCATCTGTTTGAAAATAGTGCAAACCTGCTATTTTCAGTTTTCATACATTAGCAGAAGTTCCTTCAGCAGATTTGCATATATTCTAGTTCTTTCTGCACTCATTTTTGTTACGTACTAAATCATCATGGTTTAAGTTTTCTAAGAACTTAGTGATGCAATCAACTTATCTAAACTTAACAAAATACTAAACTACATATTTTTCTTACAACAGGTGTTCAACAAGGTCCTCATAGAAACTGTAGTCTCACCCTTGAGGAGCAGAGAGCCCAGGTGCATAGATTTTATGTTCTTATGTTTACTATGTCACTTACATAAAACTGAGATTGTAATGATTCTGATAAGCAATTTTGTCAAACAGGTGACTCTTTGGTCTATGGCAAAATCTCCTCTTATGTTTGGAGGAGATCTAAGGAATATTGATATGACAACATACAATCTCATAACTAATCCTAGTTTATTGGAGATAAACTCCTACAGTACAAATAACATGGAGGTATTATCCAGTTAATTCTATTCTTTAGTTATATATTAAGTGAACCTGCTCACTATCTCATGATGTTTTTGCTGTAGTTTCGACTACATCTAATGCAAGTGAAGATAGGAGAAGGAATCATGCACATACCCAAAGCTTTACAAGCCTAGATCATGTGCAGTCATCTGGTGGGAAAGAGCTGCTACTTACAAACTGCAATAATCAGAAATCAAAAGTATGGTTTAGAGAATCTGATGGTGTAATAGATAAGATCTGTTGGAACTATGAGATGAAAATCAGTGATAACATCTCAAATTGCCTGTACGAGAGAAGGCCTCCTATGACATCGTATGAATGCCGGCATCCTCTAGTGAATTCTTTTTTAAAAGAAAAATCTCATTACTTTTTGTCTTTGTTTAACTTTAAATTGTTTAATGCTGATGTTGGAATGTTAAACTCAGATAGAATTGCCCAAAAATTTGGGATGCAATGTGTTTGTTGCTTGTTGTGTATGTCCTTGACGAAGGCTCATTCTCAAAATGATTATGTTCTGGTGTAGTGATGAAGACATCATATACAGAGAAAACTACCAGGGAAAATTTCACTTAGCAGCAACTGATACCATGGAGACATGCTTGGATGCTTCTGTACAAAAAAGACTTAGCGCATCAGAGAGGCGAAGGACTTCATTATCCTCATGCAAGTGGAATGCCAATCAGGTATCATCGAGTACTTAATAGTATGTTGTTAGCACTAGCTATATGTGGGACTTATCCTGTTGCTGATAGTTTGCACTTTGCCATCTCTATTTGTTAGTTTAAGAATTGACACAATTTAGACATGTTAGAGAGAAAAATTGAGAGACATTTATTAGTTAGCATACCAACTGTTTGGGAAGAAAATTGTTTTCTTCATTGTATAACTCATTACAACTTTAGTCGTTACAATAAGTTCGAAAAAGACGATCTTTTTATAAGATCTTACACAATAAAAAAAATAAAGAAAATTACAACTCTCTTTCAAACAATACGCAATAGGTGTTTATCGCCTATCGCTTTTTTGTGGGATCTTTGTCTGTGCCGGAGACGTTAATATCCGTAGACCACCGAATAATCAGATCAATCCGGAGTTTCGTTGATTCGCGAAGGAATCAAGAAACCGAAAAAATTATCTCGGTAACAGCGAGATAATCACTCTTCTCGAGATCGCAGCTAGGTACGATATCAAGGAAAGAGACCGGGCTATGGATCTGACGAACTCCTCTTCCTTATGTAGAAGAACTCGATCCGATCTCCTCCTCTCTGAAATTTTGCTCATCAGTCTCTGATTCAGCATGGCTTTGCCAAGGCTCGAGAATTCCAGCTCTGTGTAAATGAATGCCCTAGGGCTGTATTTATAGGCTTCAGGAGCCCTGTTTTCGGATAAGAACGAACGATTTAATCTTATCCTTAGTTGTAACCATTTTATCACGTTCTTAGATGATATTAGATCAGTTAAAACAAATCCAGGTGGTTAACGGTTGAAAAACGGTTCAAAACTGCGTAAAATGGCTTTTTGGAGCCTGCGGACACCCGCGGTGTCTCGGCCACGACCGAGACACTTGGGGTGTCTTGGCCAAGGCCGAGACACTCGCGGTGTCTCCGCTAAGGCCCGGGGTATTGTTTCGTGCGTCCCGTCCGTTTCTGTCGTATCTTCGTCGTCCGAACTCAGAATTACGCGATTCAAAGTGCGTATGAAAGCCGACGAGGAGATCTACAGGCTCCCATGGTTGAATCATACATGGAGTAGACGAGATACGAGAGGCGTTTCGTTTTTTCGTAAGTGAAGCGTAGCTCCCGATCAGTTTGTATCTTCGTTATTCTGCAATTTCTTTGCTTCACATGGTTCGTCGACTTGCTTCATGCGCTCATCGACGTTAATTAAGCTTCGGTGACTCGGATAGTGACGTTCATCGTCTTCTCTCTGCTTCGAGCTGCGTGCGAGAGCCCGTAGGGAATTTTTGACGCCTACACCAACCTACATATAGATGGTAGGTTTAGTAGAGGGCAAGAAATTTATAAGTTGCGTCCTAGGAACAAAATAGACTGAACTAATCTAATACTTATTATGAGACTTCCCTCAAGCTCGAGCATAGGTATCAATTATGTCCAACTTGTTACGCAGTGGTAAGATACCCTAAGTTTAGCCTAATAGATGTGACAGGGAGCTAGATTTGAAAGCTTTTGTTAAGACCCGACCTAAGGAACATCTTCAAGGCTTGGACCCAGAGAATATATTTCTCGCTATTCACCTTGATCGTAGTGCTGAATGGAACCTTCTGATGATCAAAGAAAATCGAGGGAGTCGTCAAAACGGATATATGAAAGGCAATAGGATGACAGAGTAGACAGACATAACAAAAAGAGTAGACTTGAGACAAATTTTTTGAAATAGCCAAATTTAGAGCATGGGAAGTGTGTCACATGTGTGTAGGCAGATTAGCAGAGACACAACTAGGAGACTTACACAGGCATAGAAACCTACACTGGAGCCAGAACGACACGTGGAACCACCCAACAAGAGAAATACTAGGTGGGTTTTAGCCAACAGACTTTGAAACTTACTGATGAAAACATGGAACTATAGATGATTCTTAGAAAGAAGCAACCGTATCAGTGTAGTTACAGCCAGAAATCACACAAACACAACACATGAGGCAGAACAAAGTCAAATATAGATCACATGCAAACACTTGTTTCTATGATTGACATGCATCTATATAGAAGATTTTAGGCTGGCATCGGAGGTGGAGTCTTAGAGAAGAGGAAGCGACAGAGCGGTTGTCATTGATCGGGAAGAGGAAGTAGTGGCAAAACGACGTTGGGGCTTTCTGACGGTGGATAACGAGGTCTGAGTGTCATTGGAGTCAAAGCTCGTTGTGAGGCAACAAATGAATGATAAAAATTACTGTTTGCACAATGAACAATAGCTATTATTACAGTTAGCTTGACAATCCCACCTGAATTTTGGGGGGTTTGCACATAATTCCTCTGAACATTTTATATCTCACATAACTACCTCAAACTTTAGGGTGTCCCACAAACCCACCTGGACTTTAAACTCCACTCCCCCCAAATATGTAATCTGTAAATAGCTTAAATTTTTTTGAGAGAAAACACCCTCAATTGGGGAAAGGCGTATGTTACCTGTAAAAGACAAATGAGTAATTTTGGGGGGTTTTCTCCTAAGGACGTTTTAGTTGTTCGCGGGAAAAATCGTGTCTTTCATTGATTCCATTGCACACTCTTGTAATAGTTTATCGATTACAAAGATCCGGTCTTTATATAAGATCCGGTTACAACGAAATCAAAAGAAAAATAAAAAGATTTACAACTTTCCTTTTATGTCGAACGAATCGCGAGCTCCTGTTTTGCGGTCACTCGCTTTTGTGGGTTCTTCGCCTGCGCCGGGGTTAATCCATGGACCACTGCGCGATCTAGATCCGGTCGGATCTACACGGTATGATGGGTGTTATTTCACGAAGGAAATAACAGCCGGTGGGTACTATTTCACCAAGGAAATAATAGCCTTCTCGGGATCAAAGGCCAAGCTTTGATCCGTCGGTCGTGATTCATCCGAGTCCGCCCTTGGTTGGATGACTCGTTGACTCTTCAACCCGTTAGCTTGATTCCGCACGTGAGTGGATTTATTCCGTTGTTTGCGTGCGGTTCGTTAGCCTCGTTAATCCGTTTTGTCGCGTATCACTTGGCTTCGGTGTTGTGGACTAACAATCGTGTCTGCATACGTCGCCCGATGGTCGGTTCGTCGAATCGGCGTTGTCGAGCTGTGTTAAGGGACCTATAGGCAGTTTTATACGCCTGCAGATACCCCCTCCAAAGTATTTTAGCCTCGTTCTTTTATAGAAGAGTCTGGAATACTTTGGATATGATTGTCCCATCCTTCGATTGGTTACGACTGGATATTTGGAGTGGCTTCCATTCTTGATTCCTTCAGTCCTTCAGACTGTTCGGTGCTTTGTCGAATGTCTATAAAGGTTCCGGTGCTGCATTTATTGTCTGACCGTCTGTTGGAATTTTGAATTTGAAGTCGATTTTCGATTTTCTGACTTTTTAGCTCGAGTTGGTAATTTCAACATAGAACTGACCATCGGTCGTCGGCGTTGAATCTCCATTTAAAACGCGTTGTCCGGCGTTTGAGCTTCATTGTGACGCGTTGTCCGGCGTCCAAGCTTCATTGCGACGCATTGTCCGGCGTCTGACACAGTTTATACTCATATGTTTATTGGAGTCTTAAGAAGCAGTTTATACTCGTATACTTTTCAAGCTCTTAAGGTATTGGAGCATCGCGGTCTCGAATGTTGGGGTTGCAGGACCAACTGTTAAAGTTGATTCATCTGCATGTGTGGATTTTGTCCTGAATTTGTTGGGTGCTCGAGTCACGAGACCAACTAGGGGAGTTGATGCGTCAATGACTCGCAGTTATAGAATTTTTGGCAAATCCTCAGCCATCAACGGATTTGATTAGCCTTTACCGACTACCGTTTGAGTCGGGCTAGCATGCGGATTGTTCAAGTCCGTTCCGCATGTGACGTTAAGCTAAAAGAGTTAACCCTTTTAGTGCTACGATATTGAATACGTAGACTTCGTCTTTCTCACGGGAATAGACTACCCGGCGACGCGTGTTAGGCGTTGACTTTAGGATTTTTGGCTAACCCCAAGCCTTTAACGGATTTGATTAGCCTTTACCGACTACCGTTTGAGTCGGGCTAGCATGTGGATTGTCTAAATCCGTTCCGCATGTGACGTTGTGCTAAAGGAATGAACTCCCTTAGACTTGATGCTACGACTTCGAATACGTAGACTTTGCCATTGCTACGGGAATAGGCTACCCGGCAACGTGTATTAGACGTTGACTTATCCCTACTTAGGCTTCGGGATGAGATACCCCAGAATCGAACTCTGGTGTCTTTTTCTACGGGGAAAGACTAAACCGGCGACGCGTGTTAGGCGTCGGCATATCCTTTCTTAGGATTCAGGATGAAATTCCCCATGCGTGTAAGGCATGGATTTTGGTGTTATTAATGACGACCTGCCGCAATGTTGAATATGCGGACGAGTGTTCTTTTTAACGGTTAGGAACTAACCGGCAGCGCGGGTTAAGCGCAGACTTATCCTTGCTTAGGTTTCAGGATAGAATACCCCAGAATCAAACTCTGGTGTCTTTTTGTACGGAAAAAGACTAAACCGGCAGCGCGTGTTAGGCGCAGACTTATCCCTGCTTAGGATTCGGGATAAACTTCCTATACCTGTGAGGCACAGATTTTGGGATTTGAAAAAGGTGGTGTCTTCTCTTGGGGCAAAGACGAACCCGAAATGGGAGAGGAAGAATTTTATATTCTATCTCCCGACACTGAAGAAGAATTTTATATTCTATCTTCAGCTGGAAAGGAGACTCGAGGTGGGATCTCCACCCCCAGAATCCGGAAAGGTGAAACTGAGAGTGGGATTTCCACTCCGAGAATCGAAAAGATTCGGATAACCCTAACTGTCGGAAGGTTTGATTACCGAACTAAAGATGAATTTCTCGTTTATCGAGAGTAAATCGTGGTTTTGGTCCTAACTGTAGGAAGGTTTGACCAAGCGAGAGTTTGAGGTGACCCTAACTATAGGAAGGTTTGTTCACTTGATTTAAAGGTGGACCTCTCGTTCATTGGAGGAAT